GGCGGCAAAGGATTAAAGACAGACAAAGAGAATATAGCTGGGGCTTGGTGGATCTCCTGTGCCTGGATGAGGCCACAGAGAGGGATCCAGCCAGCAAGCTGAGGCTTTATTTAATAGTCAGAGAAAAACAAGGTAGTGGTCAACATAGTTACAATGTTCTTGTGAGTTTCACTTGTTTTGGCAGCACTTGCTGCACCTCCCACAGTCCATTAGCTACCCAGGAAGGATCTAGTGAGCTTATAAGGTCAAGCTTAATTATGCTAAGAGGGCTCTGCCCTCTAAGCTGGGACTTGTTTGTGGCTCTGCCACAGGTCAATCCAAGGCTTAATTCTAGAGCCACTCCCTAGAATCCAGGATGTGCCCTGACTAAGAATTCTGGTTCATAGGTTGAATTCTGTTCAACCACTGAGCCACATAGGCCAGGCCAGATCTTATATTTGAGAGCTTATTGCAACTAATGTTAACAAGGATGCTGTTAGACTAGAGTATGTCCAGAAGAAAGCACTAAAGGTACTTAAACCATGTCTCTGAGGGGAGTTGAAAAACCTGGTCACGTTTCTCTCCGGGAGGAGAGAAAACACAGACAGATGAGGTATGGCTTTCAGGGCCTAACAAACTTCTGCAGAAGAAGTTCCTTATTTTCCATGTGACTCCTATGGGCAGACCTAGGACCCATAGTGCAAGTTATAGGAGGATAAGTGTTGAATGAGTCAGAATATGACCATCTGAGCTGCCTCAGAGAGAGGCCCCCATCTCTGCACAGAGGTTATAGAAGGGGACGCAGCATTCAGCTAGACATTCATCTGATGACTTTTAAGTCTTTAGATTTAAAATTTCAGATTTGGAGTTTCATAGGCACTAATATCTATATACTAGAGGCCTGGTGCACAAAATTCATGCACTGGAGGTGGAGGGCCCCTCAGCCTGACCTGCGCCTTCTCATAGTCCAGGACCCCTTAGAGGATGTCCAGCAGTCGGACATCCCTCTCGCAACCTAGGACTCCTTGATCCTTACCGCTTGGCTCGCTGCTCCTTAGTGCTGTTGGTGCTGTTAGACTAGAGTATGTCCAGAAGAAAGCACCAAAGGTACTTAAACCATGTCTCTGAGGGGAGTTGAAAAACCTGGTCACGTTTCTCTCCGGGATCCTCTCCCGCCACCACTGCTGCGCTCACCAGCCATGAGCCCAGCTTCTGGCTGAGCAGAGCTCCCCCAGTGGGAGCGCACTGACCACCAGGGGGCAGCTCCTGCATTGAGCTTCTGCCCCCTGGTGGTCAGTGTGCATCATAGCGACCAGTTGTTCTGGTTGTTCCGCCATAGGGTCACTTAGGCTTTTATTATATAGATATTTTTGTCTTACTGGTTTCCACAGCAGAGCCTATAATAAGAATTTTTTAGCTGTGTCCAAAGCCATTTTGGAATTGTGAGTTATTTCTCTTGCAGGAGAAAATGCAGAAGTTTCCATGGACGTTTCCCTGGCTTACCGTGATGATATGTTTGCTGAATGGACTGAAATGGCCCATGAGAGAGTGCCTCGGAAACTCAAATGTATCTTCACATCCCCCAAGGTAGGATTCCTTGACGTCTAATTTGTTGGAGTTTTTTGTTTGTTTGTTTTTAAAATTTTTATTGATTTTTTACAGAGAGGAAGGGAGAGGGATAGAGAGTCAGAAACATCGATGAGAAAGAAACACCAATCAGCTGCCTCCTCCACACCCCACACTGGGGATGTGCCCGCAACTAAGGTACATGCCCTTGACTGGAATCAAACCTGGGACCCTTCAGTCCGCAGGCCGACACTCTATCCACTGAGCCAAACCAGTCAGGGCTGGAGTTTTTATTTGATTTCCAGTTATGTGGGAAGATTTGCTTTACAATTAACAGATATGTTCCTTATTTCTTAGCATGCATAACCCACATTATCCTTTGTCTTAGTAGAGAAAAGGGCTGTGTAGATATTTCCTATCCCAGCAAAGGAGGAAAGAATAGAAGGAATGTCTGTCTGAAGTGATTTAGTTGTTTCTCTGAAATACCTCCATAAAAATAAATTCCTCATTCTTTGGTTAATAGCTGAATGTGTCTGAAGAACATTGCTAAATTACTTTGATATATAAGCATCTTGATATTGGAGTAGTGCTGAGTCTACTTCTCTTTTTCTTAGGCTTCTCTTTGCTGTCAAAGTTCATGTGTAGGTACGAAGACTAAAAATCCCAGTCACCACAGACAGAAAGACAACCTCAGTCTTCTAACCTGTCTTTAAGACACTCCCTTCTCTGGTTTTTCCAGGAGGACTCAGTCAACCACCCATGGGAGGGAGATTACTATCCTGCATTGAAAATATGGAAACATTTTCTTTGGGGCAAAGGCCCAAAGATTGATTCAATGACCTCCAGGGATAGTGGGATTTGATGATTAAAGGACCAAATCAAAGTGAGCTGGAGGCCCTTTATAAAAGCCAAGTGCTGCCCTTACACATGCCTCCCTGACATTCTCACATTCTGGCCCCTCACCCTCACTGACCCCTCTGCTCTTGAAAGTCTCTGTGAAGGTGAAATGGAGCCATAGTTACTGTTACTCACAGTTACCCACAGTTCTCAAGGGTGCTGACGTGGTGCACCATCAATGATAGGTGATCTCTGGTGGTCCTTCAGGTACAGAAAGGGTCTCGTTTTCTTTGTGTGAGTGGATGAGAGGCCAAACTTTGTGAGAGCACATTGTTGAGTATGTCATTTGTCACATGGCATCTCCAGATCAATTGCTCCTGAAGGATTTGGATAGCTTTGTAATACCCATTCCATTGTTTGGTTTAGTTCTTTTCCTCTCCTCGCATTGGCCTTTTGCTTTTGCCGGTAACTATAACATTGGGATTCCCTGTGGAATGGTAAAATGGCAGGTTGAAGCCTCTGAGTACCATGCCCCTGCCCTGTCTGTCCTACCTTGAGGAGGAGTAAGACGGGGCAGGCTCACAGAATTAACATTAGTTAAAAACATGGATTTGGAGCAAAACATGTGTCTTCAGTTCCAGGCTGTATCACTTACTGTCTGCGTGACCTTAGGCAAACTGACTTACTCTGTCTGAGCTTCAGTTTCCCTTCTGCAAAATGGAATAATAATGCCTGCTATGGGAGTCTTTATAAGGACTACATGGGATAGTGAACATAAGCAGAATGACCTTATCATGTAACATGTAGTCTGAGACACATTTGAGAATGAAAGAGGATGTTAATCAGATGGGCCACTAGAACTCTCATGGGCATAAGCACCTATTGGGGCACCTGACACTTAAGTCTCTCTTCCAGGTTCCATAGACTAGAGCTACAGAAAGCATGATCTGAGGACTGACAGCTTCACATCATCTGAGAGCTTGTAGGAAATGCAGATTCCCAGGTTACACCCAAAACCTAATGGATCAAAATCTCAGTGTGCAGGAGCAAGGAATCTGTGTTTCAAGAGGATTTCAATTTCTTCTCTTAAGCTTGATAAAATTTGAGAGCCACTGCCCTAGACCAGTGGTCGGCAAACTGTGGCTCAGCAAACTGCGGCTCGCGAGCCACATGCGGCTCTTTGGCCCCTTGAGTGTCTTCCACAAAATACCGACTTCTGCGCATGGGCCACGAAGTTTCAATCGCACTGTACGTGCGTGCCCACACATGGTATTTTGTGGAAGAGCCACACTCAAGGGGCCAAAGAGCCGCATGTGGCTCGCGAGCCACAGTTTGCGGACCACAGCCCTAGACCCTTTGCTGAGTGCCAAATATAGTTCCACTTGCAACCAAAATAAAGCCATCTGGAGTTGTTTGGGGAGGCCCTCAGGGGACAATCAGTGGGTAAAAATGAATGGTGGAGGGAAACTGGAGGTAGCAGGAGAGGGGACTCTCTAACACGTTCAGATCTTTGTGTGCAACAGAGAAAATTAATTAAAACCTTTCTAGCTGTTGCTGCAAGTTGCCTGCGTCTTTCAGAGGTGAGACTGGTTGGATATCTAATCTAAAGGCTATAAAGCTTCGGGATATGGAATTTCATCCTCAGAAAAGGGAAAAGTCATTTCTCACCTCACTCACACACTTGCAAGGCACTGAGAAGCAGAGTGAGGGGGAGTCATTAAGAAGCCTGCAACTGTTCCTCCGTGTTGGCTGCTTAATTATCTTTAGGATGTGTTGATCCCTTTCAAGAAAGATATTAAACCTTGAAAAGTGTGAAGGAAAATGAATCATCAAATCTGTGCTTTCTGATTGCAGTGAAATTTAGTGTTGAGTCTGAAGATTAAATGAGAAATTGCTGTAAAGGGTTTTAGTCCCTGGTGGCTTGCGAAGTTAAAAAAAAGTCAAGTTGCCACCTGCTGTAATTTGTCCTAATTAGTCAGTCTCATGCTGGAGTTGGCTGGAGCTGGGGGAGGGCTAAGGGGGATGGGAGAAAGTAAAGAGAGAGGGGGGGATTGTCTGTCTTTCTAAATGTCCTAAATACTGGCAGAAGCAGAACTTCAGTGTGTACAGAAAAGTCCCCAACAGGATGCAGTGTTTATCTTTGAGACAAGTAGGCTAGGCGAGGATCCCAGAATCCAGTGTATCCAGTTCTTTAACTTAGATAAATTTTTTATTTTATTTTTAGAGACAGAGAAAGGGAGAGGTATAGAGAGAAAGAAACATCAATGAGACAGGAGGCTAGGCGAGGATCCCAGAATCCAGTGTATCCAGTTTCTTTAACTTAGATAAATTTTTTTTATTGATTTTTAGAGAGAAAGAAAGGGAGAGGTATAGAGAGAAAGAAACATCAGTGAGAGAGGAACATCATTGGTCAGCTGCCTCCTGCACACCCCCTACTGGGAATTGAGCCTGCAACCCAGGCATGTGCCCTGACTGGGAATTGAACTGTGACCTCCTGGTTCATAGGTTGACGTTCAACCACTGAGCCCCAACGCCAAGGAAACGTAGATAAACTTGTCTCATGGGTTGGTAGCATTAGCCTCTCTGTAGGGACAGGGAAGTGGAGGACACCTAGAGAACAATGAAAGGGGACTAGAACCCTGTAGATTATCTTATTTTACCTTCTTGTTTTACTTATGAGGAAAGTGAGGCCAAATGAGGTGGATGACCTTCACAAGGTACCCAACAAGGAGCAAGGTCAGGTCATTGCCATCCTCATCACAGCACAATGCCTGTCCTCAGGCATGTCTGACGCAGTGTCATTCATTTCTTCCTGCTGTACTCAAGTAACCTCTTCCCCATCAGAGCTGAAGGCTGGACTTGGAAGGCCCAGGCCCTCAACCCCATACTACTACTTTTGGGACCACGGCATTAGACTAAATAGAGTTTTGTTCTCTTCCTCCTCAAACTCTCAATAAAACAAGACTCTGATTGGAAACATATCAGAAAACCCTCCTTGCTGCTACCACAGGGGGTCATCAACCTCCTCAATGCAGCTTAATCCGAGGCTGAATCAGAGCCTATAGTGTTTTTAGTTGTTCCTGCAGAGGCTACTACTAGCCCTGATTTGTATGTATAAGAGAGAGAAAGGAACAGGAAGGAGAGAAAGACAGCCTATACAGAAAGAATCATCCAGCCTGCAGATGAAGTGTAGATAAAAAGCAGGATTCTTTCTGCAGAAGAATTTTTTTAATTCCATAAGCCAAGTCTAATCAACTGGTAGTTCTGATAAGAGCCCCTCAAACCTTAAAGGATAAAAAACGATCATGATTGATTAGTGATGTCTGCTCTGAGTAGGGAGTGGAAGCAAATAAGCCAGATATTTGCCTGCTCTACCTCTACTTTGCCACGTGTGTCTTTGGTCTGTATACAGAGGTCTGTGTTTATTGCACTCTAAGTTCTGACTCTCCAATAAAGAACTCCACAAGATCACAGAAGGGGCAGAAGACTCTTCATATACTAGTTAGTCTGTAGACTCCTTATTATCTTCCTTCTGATTTTTCCACTAGACTTTTTACTCTGACGAGTCACAAAAAATTATAAAAATTCTGAGAATTTAGGCTTGGGAACAACAAATTAGGTCTTCCCTATCATTTGATCAGAAAACATTGAAGCTGGCATATAAACCCAATATTGATGGCAGACACTCATCTCTTTTATTAGGAAAAAATCCCTGGCTGCTAAAGCTTACGCCTCTACTTGGCCATATTTACCCCAAGCCTCTACCCCTTGGTAGGAACACAAAGCCAAGAGTCCTGGTGCGGGAGAGCAGAATTTAGTTTTCAAAACAACCTGTGCCCCTACTCTCCAACCTCCCACTGCCATGCTCTGGGCAGTAACTCTTCAATTGCTTGGCAGGAAGGGTGAGACGCTTCTTTTAAAAACTGGGATTAATTTTTGTTTAATTAAAATGTCTGCTCCTTCTGCCATCTTGCCTCTTGGGCAGTTTAGAAGCTTTGGAGATAGAAATTTCCAACTGGGCATCTCAAACTAATCCCATTACTACCTGTCATCCCTTTCTGTCTTCCCCAAGTCTCAAGGGTTCCTGGAGTTGCTTCTTTTTCTGTCAAATCAATAAAACATAGATGTTCTCAGCTTCTTGCAGCTTCTCCTGCTGGCCAAAACCATGTAAGTAATTAGCCGTTACCTGAGACTGTGCGGAATGTCAGCAAGAGCTTCCTCCTGAACATTAAGAAGTTGACTGTTCCACAGAGCCCTACAGGTCTCCAGTGACAGGCTGCAAATAAAAAGCATGCAGTCCTGGTAGACCAGATGAACCTGATAGGAGGCTCAAATGAGGATTAAAACACTGAGAAAAGTGAAAGGACATAGAAGAGATTTTTGCTTTTTACCTAACATTTTAGGTTCTACCTCAAATGGGCTAATGGCTGTTTGTTTTTTGAAGGGAGGAAGGGCAACTGGTAGATACCATGCCTCTAGTGTGCCCTATTATTGATACCTCTAAGGAATACCTTTAAGCATTAGCTAGGAATACCTTTAAGAATTCGTGCTAGGGCCCTAACCGGTTTGGCTCAGTGGATAGAGCGTCGGACTGCAGACTGAAAGGTCCCAGGTTCGATTCCAGTCAAGGGCATGTACCTTGGTTGCGGGCACATCCCCAGTAGGGAGTGTGCAGGAGGCAGCTGGTCGATGTTTCTCTCTCTCTATCCTTCTCCCTTCCTCTCTGTAAAAAAATCAATAAAATATATATGTTTTTTTAAAAGAATTCGTGCTAGGAGGCAAAGGTAAGACAGTTCAGACAGTCTATTGGCAATAGTGACCCTGCCTCAAAACCTCTGTTCTTCTTCCAGACCCCAGAGCATGAGGGCCGTTACTATGAATGTGATGTCCTTCCTTTCATGGAAATCGGATCTGTGGCTCATAAGTACTACCTTTTGAACATCCGGCTGCCTGTGAATGAAAAGAAGAAAATCAACGTTGGGATTGGGGAGATAAAAGATATTCGGTTGGTGGTGAGTGTATCTAATTGGCCCAAGCAGTCTGCAGCACTAGAACACAGGCTAAGAACACTGGTTATGGAGCACATGTGTTGAAAAGAAGCACTTTGTATCTCCAAGCCTCTATTGTCTCACCTGAGAAATAAGAATAATAACACATACCCATGATGGCTGAGATCAGAAATTTGTGTGAGAGATTACAGAAATGGAAAATAAAGCGATTATTGTGCCCATTGAAGATGTGATAATGATCATGATTGCATAATGAATAGCACCAAAATAAAAGCAGTTATTTTTTACATGTTTCACCTTGCAAGCCTAAATGTCAACAGGAGCAGTGGTGTTTTAGGTTCTTTCCATTTATTTGTTTAATGGGAAAAATTAGAACATGGGGCAAGGGGGCCATTTTTTAATCTAAAACATAGTTACACAAGAAATACATATATATTGTAGAGAACTAGAAAGCACAAGTAAACACATAGAATATAAAAATTACCTGTAATATCCTAGCATATAGAAATAACCACTATTGAGGTTTTGATTTCAGAATTCTTTTATACATATATTCATATATAATCCTTCATGTACAAAAAATAGGTTTATACTCAATTAACACTTTTGTTCCTTGCTCTCTTTTTAAAAAATATACATTTATTGATTTCAGAGAGGAAAGGAGAGGGAGAGAGAGATAGAAACATCAATGATGAGAAAGAATCATCGATCAGAGCCCACAACCCAGGCATGTGCCCTGACCAGGAATCGAACCATGGCCTCCTGGTTCATAGGTCGATACTCAACCACTGAGTCACACTGGCCGGGCCTTGCTCTTTTAATTTAATGGCATTTTTGTGTGAATATGTTAATGGTATATTGTGAATATTTTATATATACAGCAAATGAATATTAAATACACACACACACACACACTCACATAGATTTACTTTAACACATTTTACCAATCTTAACTTGGGCATCTACGATTTCTCCAATTTTTCAATGAAAGCCATACAGAAAAATCTTTGATCATATTCTTAATTATCCCCTTCGTATAGAGTGGGTCCATTTTTATGCCTTCGGATTTCTATTTCTACAATGCCTGAGAAGGGGTCAAAGAGAGTAGGTGACAGTATATGCTCTGAATGTGAAAGCTTTTGATCTGGACAGTTCAGCAGACAAGGTCTCCCCTTACCTCTCTCTGCTGGTAGAAAATAACACCAAGATATATTCACCTTCAAAATGTTGGCCTCTCTCTAGGGAATCCACCAAAATGGAGGCTTCACCAAGGTGTGGTTTGCCATGAAGACCTTCCTTACGCCCAGCATCTTCATCATTATGGTGTGGTATTGGAGGAGGATCACCATGATGTCCCGACCCCCGGTGCTTCTAGAAAAGTAAGGGTTGAGATGGGAGCACCCTGAGGGAACACAGCATTGCATGATCTAATTGCCTGCTCCTGTTTAGTGGGATCTAGGTCAAGTGGTCAGTGTAGTACTTGGGCTAGTGATTTGACCAGGAGTCATTCTGGACTTTTTTTCTCCTCCAGCTTTCACATACAAATTATTATTAAATGCTACAGGCTTTCTCTCTTTCGGCTCCTTGTTCTGTCCTTGCTCCTCATCCCCATGGTCTGACTCAGATACTTCTCCCTGTTACAGGGGGTGAGCTGCCTTTCTCCTCACTAAGCCCAGTCCAGAAGGACAATGCTCCTGTAGACGTATCCCCTTCTCCCATATTACTGACTTTTTCCTTTTTGCTGAAATCATTCCCACTAATGTACAAATACTCTCTGTTACCTCTCATTCTTGAACAAAACTTTTCCTTTTCCCATTTCCCCTTGAAGCCATCACACCATTTTTTTTCTTTTTTACAACAAAACTCCTCAAAAAAATTTGTCTGTATATCTTCTCCTCCTAGTTTTTCTTAAGCCCATTTCACACACCACTCCCTCCCCAAACCCCATGAAACTGGTCTTGATAGGATCACCAGTGACCTTCACATTCCAAACCCAATGGTCATACCTCAGTCCTCACTTTTCTTGACCCATTATCAGCATTTGACATGATTGATCACTGACTTTTTTTTTTTTGAGCCTTTTCCACCCTTTTTGTGGTCATTCTCCTCCTTTGCTGACCATCACTCAGTCTCCATTGCTCTTTCCAACCAAATTCCAACCTCTTAAACTTTGGAGCCAGGGCTCAGTCTTTGGAACTTTTCTCTTTATTAGCTGTGCTTAGTCCTTAGATGATCTCATCTAATCTCATGGTTTTAAAAATCACCTAAATGATGACTCTTAATTTATAATCGTCAATCTCAGCCTCTCCCAACTCTCGATTCAAATATTCCAACTGTTTATTCAACATCTTCACTTACACAGAAATGTAACACGCACAAAAAACAATGGATATCCTCCCGTTTCAAACCTGTTCCTCTCCCAGGCGTTCCCATCATGGGAAATGGCAACTCCACCCTGTCCCCTTTACTTCTGGTTTTTCACATTCCTCATCTAACCCACCAAGAAATCTCACCATTTTCATTGCTACTACCCTAATCTAACCCTCCATCATTTCTCACCTGGTTTATTTGAAAGAGCCTCTCAACTGTTCTCCTTGCTTCCACCATTTTCCTCCCTATAATCTATTCACACGGCAGCCAGATTCCCTTTCAAGTGTAAATCAGATCATGTCACTCCTCTGCTCAAAGCTCTCTATTGGCTTTGCACCTCCTTTGCCCTAGTTTATAAAGCCCTGGATATTCTGGACTCTTACTACCTCTGATTTTATCTCTTATCCTCTTCATCACCTACCATCCCCTTGATGGTGCTCAAACATGCCTAAACCCAGGACCTTTGCACTTGCTGTTCTCTTTATCTGAGATGCTCTTATCCAGATAGATCTGTGGCTCAATTCCTCATTTCCTTCAGGCCCTGCTCTTATGTATCTTATCTTAAAGGCTTTTCCTGCCCATCATATATAAATAGCACTACTCTCCATTCTCCCACCTTGCTTTATTTTTCTTTATAACAATCATTCTCTATTTACTATCTTTCCTCTTATATCCCTCCTCTAACCCCATCTGAATGCAGGTATCACAAGAGTGGGATCTTGTTTTGCTATCTGTTACATCCCTAGTGTCTAGAATAGTGACTGGTACATAGAAGGAAATCAATAAATACGAATTTGTTGAATGAATGAATGAATGGATGAATGAAATATCATGTCACTCCATTGTTGAACCTTTTTTATTGGTTCAGTTCTTTCAGGATAAATTGCAAATTCTTTAATGAGGTATTCAAGTTTCCTCATGAGCTCACCCCTTTTCACTTCTCTGGTATCATGTCCTGACGTTTCCTGATAAGTGCCTCATGCGGATCCCCAAATGCTCAGGCTGTTGCAGGCTGCTGTGCCTCCATCCACGCATTTCCCTCTGCTTGGAATGCCCTCCACCTCCTTATCCTTGACTCACAACTCACCTCAATTTCTGTCAAAGTTAGAGGTCCCAGTAGCAGCCCATGCACACACTTCTATCATACCGCTTATCACACTTTGTCTCTTTATCTGGCCGAGGCACTAAACATATTTCCAGGAGTGGAAGAACTGGTCATATTTGGTATTTATAGCCCTAACAAAATGCCCAGTGCATAATCTGTGCTTAATAAACATATGTATTTCATTAATAATGAATGAAAATAGGAATAAATCAGTGACTCAATGAATAATTTGATAGAGAAATGGCAATTAATAGTGTGATGGGGGAAGCAAAATACACACTAAACAAGCCATTAAAAGAATGTGCATTTCATATTGTTTGGAGTCACTTATTACTGAAACGAATATGCTCATATAATTCACAGTTGTTGAGGAAAGCATGATAACAATAAATATTCTTATAGGTGAAGATAGTGTGATAACAAATA